TAGTCTAGTCTATAGTCTAGTCTATAGTTTAGTCTATAGTCTAGTCTATAGTCTAGTCTATAGTCTAGTCTATAGTCTAGTCTATAGTCTAGTCTATAGTCTAGTCTATAGTCTAGTCTATAGTCTAGTCTATAGTCTAGTCTATAGTCTAGTCTATAGTCTAGTCTATAGTCTAGTCTATAGTCTAGTCTATAGTCTAGTCTATAGTCTAGTCTATAGTCTAGTCTATAGTCTAGTCTATAGTCTAGTCTATAGTCTATCTATCTCTAGTCTATAGTCTAGTCTATAGTCTAGTCTATAGTCTAGTCTATAGTCTAGTTATAGTCTAGTCTATAGTCTAGTCTATAGTCTAGTCTATAGTCTATATAGTCTAGTCTATAGTCTAGTCTATAGTCTAGTCTATAGTCTAGTCTATAGTCTAGTCTATAGTCTAGTCTATAGTCTAGTCTATAGTCTAGTCTATAGTCTAGTCTATAGTCTAGTCTATTCTAGTCTATAGTCTAGTCTATAGTCTAGTCTATAGTCTAGTCTATAGTCTAGTCTATAGTCTAGTCTATAGTCTAGTCTATAGTCTAGTCTATAGTCTAGTCTATAGTCTAGTCTATAGTCTAGTCTATAGTCTAGTCTATAGTCTAGTATATAGTCTAGTCTATAATCTAGTCTATAGTCTAGTCTATAGTCTAGTCTATAGTCTAGTCTATAGTCTAGTTATAGTCTAGTCTATAGTCTAGTATATATAGTCTAGTCTTATAGTCAGTCTATTAGTCTACTTATAGTCTAGTCTATAGTCTAGTATATAGTCTAGTCTATAGTCTAGTCTATAGTCTAGTCTATATAGTCTAGTCTATAGTCTAGTCTATAGTCTAGTCTATAGTCTAGTCTATAGTCTAGTCTATAGTCTAGTCTATAGTCTAGTCATAGTCTAGTCTATAGTCTAGTCTATAGTCTAGTCTATAGTCTAGTCTATAGTCTAGTCTATAGTCTAGTCTATAGTCCTAGTCTATAGTCTAGTCTATAGTCTAGTCTATAGTCTAGTCTAGTCTATAGTCTAGTCTATAGTCTAGTCTATAGTCTAGTCTATAGTCTAGTCTATAGTCTAGTCTATAGTCTAGTCTATAGTCTAGTCCTATAGTCTAGTCTATGTCTAGTCTATAGTCTAGTCTATAGTCTAGTCTATAGTCTAGTCTATAGTCTAGTCTATAGTCTAGTCTATAGTCTAGTCTATAGTCCAAGTCTAGTCTAGTCTATAGTCTAGTCTATAGTCTAGTCTATAGTCTAGTCTATAGTCTAGTCTATAGTCTAGTCTATAGTCTAGTCTATAGTCTAGTCTATAGTCTAGTCTATAGTCTAGTCTATAGTCTAGTCTATAGTCCAGTTAATACCTTTATCTTTTATCACCTGCATAGCAGAAAGGTCTAAGTCCATTCACGTTTAGGGTCCGCAGGTGACTATTAATCGCAGTTGCACAGAGTAAAAGTAACAAAATACCACCCTGTGGGGGTTTGTTCCTCACAATCATTCAAATTTTGATTTAATTTTTGTACTTTTCACGAACTAATTAAATTAGTGATATACTAATAACTAAAATTAACTATTAAACTATTAGCTTTAAATTTTAAGTACGTTTTCAATATTAACAATAAATCAATTTTCAAATACAACAATGTAAGCTACTTACAAGCAACAACAATTGTTATTAAATACATACCTAATAACATTTTTTTACAGCAAATTATTATTTCTACTTAAATTATGTAGCTGAAATCAAATAATCCGATAGTTAGGATATTTTTGGAACGGTACCCATTTTTTAAATACACACATATTGTAAATTTATATTAAATTTTAATATTTACTTAAGTTTTTTATTATTATTTTTATTTTTCTTTACACTTTATTTGCTATAAATCGTTTAAGCTAAATTTTTATATTTAACTATTAACAAAAGTTAATATTTTTATAGATTTTAGCTTATTTAATTAATATTTTGTTGACACTTTTTTAAAAGAAAATGCATATAGGAAACAACCATTATTATTTTTACATGCAAAATTTATATTATTCAGTCACAAACAACAAAACCACAATCATAAACAACAGAAAAGAGGAAATATAGTTGGCGAAACACTGCTTAGTAATACCCTACACTGGGATTAACTTATATAGTTTTAGTTCACTTCTTCTAGTTCAGTTCTAGTTCAGTTCTAGTTCATTTCTAGTTCAGTTCTAGTTCAGTTCTAGTTAGTTCTAGTTCAGTTCTAGTTCAGTTCTAGTTCAGTTCTAGTTCAGTTCTAGTTCAGTTCTAGTTCAGTTCTAGTTCAGTTCTAGTTCAGTTCTAGTTCAGTTCTAGTTCAGTTCTAGTTCAGTTCTAGTTCAGTTCTAGTTCAGTTCTAGTTCAGTTCTAGTTCAGTTCTAGTTCAGTTTTAGTTCAGTTCTAGTTCAGTTCTAGTTCAGTTCTAGTTCAGTTCTAGTTCAGTTCTAGTTCAGTTCTAGTTCAGTTCTAGTTCAGTTCTAGTTCAGTTCTCGTTCAGTTCTAGTTCAGTTCTAGTTCAGTTCTAGTTCAGTTCTAGTTCAGTTCTAGTTCAGTTCTAGTTCAGTTCTAGTTCAGTTTTAGTTCAGTTCTAGTTCAGTTCTAGTTCAGTTCTAGTTCAGTTCTAGTTCAGTTCTAGTTCAGTTTTAGTTCAGTTCTACTTCAGTTCTAGTTCAGTTCTAGTTTAGTTCTAGTTCAGTTCTAGTTCAGTTCTAGTTCAGTTCTAGTTCAGTTCTAGTTCAGTTCTAGTTCAGTTCTAGTTCAGTTCTAGTTCAGTTCTAGTCAGTTCTTCAGTTCTAGTTCAGTTCTAGTTCAGTTCTAGTTCAGTGTTCTAGTTCAGTTCTAGTTTCAGTTCTAGTTCAGTTTTCTAGTCAGTTCTAGTTCAGTTTCTAGTTCAGTTCTAGTTCAGTTCTAGTTCAGTTCTAGTTCAGTTTCTAGTTCAGTTCTAGTTCAGTTCTAGTTCAGTTCTAGTTTCAGTTCTAGTCAGTTCTAGTTCAGTTCTAGTTCAGTTCTAGTCAGTTCTAGTTCAGTTCTAGTCAGTTCTAGTTCAGTTCTAGTTCAGTTCTAGTTCAGTTCTAGTTCAGTTCTAGTCAGTTCTAGTTCAGTTTCTAGTTCAGTTCTAGTTCAGTTTAGTTCAGTTCTAGTTCAGTTTAGTTCAGTTCTAGTTCAGTTCTAGTCAGTTTAGTCAGTTCTAGTTCAGTTCTAGTTCAGTCTAGTTCAGTTTCTAGTCATCAGTTCAGTTCTAGTTCAGTTCTAGTTCAGTTCTAGTTCAGTTCTAGTTCAGTTCTAGTTCAGTTCTAGTTCAGTTCTAGTTCAGTTCTAGTTCAGTTCTAGTTCAGTTCTAGTTCAGTTCTAGTTCAGTTCTTTTTCAGTTCTTGTTCAGTTCTAGTTCAGTTCTAGTTCAGTCAGTTCAGTTCTAGTTCAGTCTAGTTCAGTTCTAGTTCAGTTCTAGTTCAGTTCTAGTTCAGTTCTAGTTCAGTTCTAGTTCAGTTCAAGTTCAGTTCTAGTTCAGTTCTAGTTCAGTTCTAGTTCAGTTCTAGTTCAGTTCTAGTTCAGTTCTAGTTCAGTTCTAGTCAGTTCTAGTTCAGTTCTAGTCAGTTCTAGTTAGTTCTAGTTAGTTATAGTTCAGTTCTAGTTCAGTTCTCTAGTTCAGTTTTGTTCAGTTCTAGTTCAGTTCTAGTTCAGTTCTAGTTCAGTTCTAGTTCAGTTCTAGTTCAGTTCTAGTTCAGTTCTAGTTCAGTTCTAGTTCAGTTCTAGTTCAGTTCTAGTTCAGTTCTAGTTCAGTTCTAGTTCAGTTCTAGTTCAGTTCTAGTTCAGTTCTAGTTCAGTTCTAGTTCAGTTCTAGTTCAGTTCTAGTTCAGTTCTAGTTCAGTTCTAGTTCAGTTCTAGTTCAGTTCTAGTTCAGTTCTAGTTCAGTTCTAGTTCAGATTTAGTTCAGTTCTAGTGAAAATCTACATCTATTACTATAGTATTTTTATGGTACTTTTTGACAATATTAGTCCCAAGACTAGTCGTAGACTAGACAGTATGCAAATCAATACACTAGACATGTCCATAGACTTGTCAGTAGAAAAACAGTAGACTAGTTCATAGACTAGTATATACTAATCAATAGACTAGTCTGTAGACTACTCGATAGACTAGTCAGTAGACTAATTCATAGACTAGTCAGTAGACTAAGTAGTATTGCAGACAATACGCCTGGTCTACTGTTAAGGATTGATGTATTAAGGTTATATCAATATTTCTCTCACACCCGTATCAATATAAAATGTTTTTGTGTCAGTTTTTGAATACTTTGTGCACTTTTAAAGAGTCTATGAGGACCAAATCCAAAACTCTTACTTTCTAGCATATATATATAAATTACAGATTAATTCCATATTTTTTTAAATTCTACACTTTTCATCACTAAAACGACTGAAGAAATAATTAAAAGTATTTCTAAAGTGTAGAACCAATATTTCTACGCGTGACAAGCAATTGTACAAATGCCAACTATAGGGGTGTAGGGCATAATAATGGGTGTAATTACAAAGAAATTATAAAAAAGGCAAACAATTTAAATTAATGGTAAAAAGTTAAAAAACTAAAACAAAGCAAAAAGGGACATTAGGAATGTTGCAAAGTAAATGACACAGAGTCATTATAAAAACCCCAAAAAATACTTGAACATTTTTTCATTACAAAGATGCCTCGTGCGTATAAAAAAATATACATCATCTGGATGCCACAAAAAATTTTTAGCCAAAAAAAAAATTGGAAAACACACAAAAAATCGTTTACACATTTACAAACACCACAACAAAAGAAAATCAATTGTTTTTAAGTTAAAAATAAATGGAATAGTTAATAAAACAAAGTACTAACTATTAAATTATTATTAATATTTATTATTAACTTTTTTTTTGGGATTTTATTTATGTTTTTTAATCTATATTTTTTACACAGCACAGGGCAATTGACGTACATATACATACAAACGTTTGCAATTAAGTATGTATGAGTGTATGCGTGTACACTTATTTTTCCTTTTAGATTTTTTTCTTTTCATTTATTATATATTTTTTTTAACATTTCCTACTTTTATCAGGCTTCTTACATTTCTTTTTTTCTATAATTAAATTTATATACAAAGTATATTTTTTTACACTTAATTAACACTCATTTTTTTTATTATTAAAATACATAATTTTCTTTATTTTTTTCACTATTTATTTCATGATTTATAATGTGTTCACGTTTTCATTTTTACCGAGAAACTGTCGTAAGGAAGTTAGAAAAAACAGATATCATGCTATCATACTTTTTTTAACTGTTGGCAGCTTTTTTATTTTAATATTTTTCGTTTGCTTATAGAAAGCATGTCCTTTATGAATAGCTCTTCTTTTGCCTCTCTCTAACACTTACTCGCTCTCATACTGTGTTAATTTTGTGGAAAAAGGAAGAGAGTGCATGTAAACAAAGAAGCTTTTAATCATAACAAACAATACATTAAACATGTTTATAAACAACTGTCAGTTATTTTTGAAATGTACACGTTTTGTTGTTGCTACTTAAATATTTCAAACATTTTTACATATTTACACACATATGTTATTTATTAAATTTGTGTTTCTTACAAAAATATCCATAAAACTGTTATATATCCTTGTTAAATATATAAAAAAAAACTTACAATGACGTTTTTTCTTGTTTTCTCATGATTTGTAAATTATGCTTTCTTTAACTGTTAAGTTTTATTTCTTGTAGCTATAACCGTTTAACAATGTTTTCAGTTTCGTTTTCTATATAAAACTAAAAAAATCTACTTAAAAGAAATGTTTGTTAAATTAAATAGAACATTTGAAGTGTAGCACAACTATAACTACATATTTACATAGATATGGACATAAAGTGGTGGGTCAAGTCATTAGAAAATACGTATATTTGTATTGATCTATTTCATATTTCGAGCTACAGTGGGTGTAATTAGTAAACAAAGTAATTTTCAAGGTTTACTACCGGTACAAAAGGGTGAAAAGGGTGATAATAATACTAACATTTATCAAAAATAGTACTATTTTGGGTATTGGACTATAGACTGGATTACAAACAACACTAAAGATTAAACTACAGACTAGACTATAGACTAGAATATAGACTAGACTATAGACTAGACTATAGCCTAGACTACAGACTAGACTATAGACTAGACTATAGACTAGACTAGACTAGACTATAGACTAGACTATAGACTAGACTATAGACTAGACTATAGACTAGACTATAGACTAGACTATAGACTAGACTATAGACTAGACTATAGACTAGACTATAGACTAGACTATAGACTAGACTATAGACTAGACTATAGACTAGACTATAGACTAGACTATAGACTAGACTATAGACTAGACTATAGACTAGACTATAGACTAGACTATAGACTAGACTATAGACTAGACTATAACTAGACTATAGACTAGACTATAGACTAGACTATAGACTAGACTATAGACTAGACTATAGACTAGACTATAGACTAGACTATAGACTAGACTATAGACTAGACTATAGACTAGACTATAGACTAGACTATAGACTAGACTATAGACTAGACTATATACTAGACTATAGACTAGACTATAGACTAGACTATAGACTACTAGACTAGACTATAGACTAGACTATAGACTAGACTATATACTAGACTATAGACTAGACTATATACTAGACTATAGACTAGACTATAGACTAGACTATAGACTAGACTATAGACTAGACTATAGACTAGACTATAGACTAGACTATAGACTAGACTATAGACTAGACTATAGACTAGACTATAGACTAGACTATAGACTAGACTATAGACTAGACTATAGACTAGACTATAGACTAGACTATAGACTAGACTATAGACTAGACTATAGACTAGACTATAGACTAGACTATAGACTAGACTATAGACTAGACTATAGACTAGACTATAGACTAGACTATAGACTAGACTATAGACTAGACTATAGACTAGACTATAGACTAGACTATAGACTAGACTATAGACTAGACTATAGACTAGACTATAGACTAGACTATAGACTAGACTATAGACTAGACTATAGACTAGACTATAGACTAGACTATAGACTAGACTATAGACTAGACTATAGACTAGACTATAGACTAGACTATAGACTAGACTATAGACTAGACTATAGACTAGACTATAGACTAGACTATAGACTAGACTATAGACTAGACTATAGACTAGACTATAGACTAGACTATAGACTAGACTAGACTATCGACTAGACTATAGACTAGACTATAGACTAGACTATAGACTAGACTATAGACTAGACTATAGACAGACTATAGACTAGACTATAGACTAGACTATAGACTAGACTATAGACTAGACTATAGACTAGACTATAGACTAGACTATAGGGATAGGGCCATGCTCAGGCTACTATCGGGGTCAGCGGGTGGCGGATAGCTGAACGACCTATAAATATATAGGTCAGCTGCGAATAATAAGCAGTCCCCGACCACGAGCGGTGGAGTTCGAGGGCGTACTAAAAAAGGTACAAAGGCCTGAAGACGACTTTGCGACATGGCGATTAGATGCCGCCATATAAGTAAGCATCCCCCACAGAAGGTACCCTCTTGAGAGGCGTAGTTAGAGGAGTGACGTCCTCGTGGTTCCTTCAGTCGACATCGAAAAATCCAGAAGCGTCTGTCTCACACTGAGCGGCTCCCTGGTCGGCGTCTGTTCCCCACGTAAGGGGCGGCTGCAAAAAAGCCCTGGCGGAAGGCAAAAAACGCTACGGGTAGGATCCCGGAAAACAAAAACAACTATGGAAAGGTCTCTAAATGAAAATTTCGATACGGTGCAGGGAGTAATAAACCCAGTACCGGCGGCTGAGTGTAGTGCGCAAGCAGGCTACCCGTCGTCGTCATCAAGCGACTGCAATGCTACCCCGGTTTCAAGCTTGGCTGGGTTAGCAGATACTGCTACAAGCAAAAACAATAAATCGGAGAAAAAACCTGCCCTGAGGAAACCTGCCAAAAAGGGGACTACTCCAAGGCAATCCACGGAAAAGGAAAATAAGTCTTTAGAAGAGGATCAGAAAATTGATGATCAACAGTTTGGATCATTCCTAAAGCTAGGAAATCTCATTGTAGAACTCATGGAATTTGTCAAAGACAAAAACAATATCCACCATGAAATCAAGGGATTGATTAGATCCATAAGAGTAACATACAACATAACGCGAGATAAATTGAAATGCGGCGAAAATGTCCCATTTATCAAAGAAGTTGAACAGGTGACCAAATCAAACTCAAAGGTGTTGCCCGGTAAGAGAGAGCCAAAGAGAAAAAATGAAAAAAATGAGGATACAGCAAAAACGCCTACACCAAAAAGAGCAAAACATGGTACCCAGAAAACATTAGCCCCTGGGAAAATTATTGATGAAACCCCTGAAGAAGCTGCTGCACATGAAGAAAATGGACACTCTGAGACAACTGTTGATGAAGCCCCTGCAGAGGTTGCTGAAGAAAGGACTGTTGATCAATCAAATGAAAGTAAATGGATCACAAGGAGTAAAATAAGGAAAAGAAAATTCCGCAAACCGAAGCCGGACAAGATTTTGATCTCGACGAAAGGAGACATCTCATATGCAGACATCCTTCGTAAGATCAGAACTAATCCTGACTTGAAAGAAATCGGAGATGAAGTTGCTAAAGTAAGAAGAACCCAAAAAGGAGACCTCCTACTGGTGCTCAAAAACGCTAGTGACAGTAAAAACATCGGTGAGAAAATAGTAACCACCCTAGATGGAAGTGTTGAAGTAAAGACTCGCAGAGATGAAGTAATGATAATCTGTAAAGACTTGGATGACATAACAACCAAGGAAGAAATATGTCAAGCTTTCGCCAATGAGTTAAAGATCTCAAAGCCCGATGAATCCTTTGTAAAATCAATATGGAAATCATACGGAGGCATGCAATCTGCAAGGCTATCACTTCCGGCAGCGGAAGCAAGCAAAGCTCTTGGACTAGGGAAAATCAAAATAGGTTGGTCCATATGCAGAATAAGAGAGACAAAATCACCTATCAAATGTTTTAGGTGCTTGGAGTTTAACCATACATCGAGGTTTTGTAAGGGAAATACCGATAGAACTAAATTATGTATAAAATGCGGCGCAGAAGGCCATATAGCAAAAGCTTGTAATGGCGAACCAAATTGTATGTTGTGCAGAGACAGAGGAGCGAAGGATTTAAAACATATAGCTGGAAGCTATAAGTGTCCCGTCTTCCAGAAAGCTCTATATGACAGTTCCAGATGAATTTTATACAAATAAACTTAAATCATTGTGCTGCAGCCCAGGATCTGCTAACACAGACCATCTGCGAGCTAAACATCGACGTCGCAATAATTTGCGAACAGTATAAAAACCTAGATGGAGATACCTGGCAAAGTGACCTAACAGGAAAATCTGCAGTCTGGGCCTGCGGAGGAAAAGCTATAGAAGAAGGCATGATAGAAAAGGAAGATGGTTTTGTGCGTACTAAGATAGGTGGCATATACATCTACAGTTGTTATATATCACCAAATATGCCAATCCAACAGTTTGAATTACTGATAGATAACCTCGTAAATGATGCAAGCAGTCATAACCCAAAGGTTATTGCAGGCGACTTCAATTCGTGGGCACAAGACTGGGGCAGCATACGAACAAATGAAAGAGGAAGATTACTATTAGACGCTTTCTCCAGACTAGATGTAGTTTTGGGGAACAAGGGGGATAAAAACACGTTTCGACGGGCAGGTACTGGCTCAATTGTTGACCTGACCTTCGTCTCTAGTGCTCTCGCAAGGGATATAGAATGGCAAGTTAGCGAACATTACACACATAGCGACCACCAGGCCATCCTACTCTCAATAAAAAATAGAAGGTACACAATTCCAAGAGGAAGAACAAAGTTCAAAGGCTGGGCTCAAGAAAAGTTTGATCCAAATGTTTTTGAGGAAATCTTTTGCACTTTTGAAATTGAGGAAAGTGATCCCGAAACGATGGCTGATAAAATAGTAGAAGCACTAAAAATTGCATGTGATGCGTCTATGCCACCAAAACGCACAAGCAGAAAAAGGAAAGAAAATTACTGGTGGAATAGTAGAATAGCGAGTCTAAGAAAAGAATGCCTGCAGTCCAGGCGCCAATACCAGAGAAGCA